TTAGGATTAGTTCATCATATTGTTTTCAATTGATTGATTTGTTTGCTTTATATTTGTGGGCTTTGTATCAGAGTTACTATAGATCCTAACCCGGATCTGAGGGACACCTTTTAGGTAAGTAGCAATAGACTGTGAGGGAACTGTACGGCGTATACCGGTATGGTTGAAGCAGTAGCTACGTTGGTGTAACACATTAGTTGGTACCGATATCCCTTGTGGAGGAACAAGGAGAGTATGGGGCTGCTAATGGGTCATTAAGCATCAACTGACCTTAGAACCTATAATTGACCAACTTGGCCATAGAAAGTAGCAGTATGCTACACTCATTGAGACCATACTCTCGCGATGGTTTCGACCGCAAGAAAAGGTTGCTAAGCTGAAACTATGACCGATCGAGGATGGTCAGTGATATTGAGAACCTCTAGAACCCGGTTACTATTACTAGGACAAGTTGAACCAACTAAATTGAAAGAGGGTAATACCTAAACTCCATGCCAGCCTGAAATTTAAGGGCTCTTGTGTGACTTGCTTGCCTTTACCATGTTTGCTATCTATGATACTTGTTGTGTGTTCTATCATGACATCATGCATCATGACATCGCATGCATATTTCATTAGACTAACCATTTTAAAGACCGATGGGATTCATCTTTGTTCTGTTTTGTAGATCATGGCATCTATGCGCAGAAATACCATTTGGATCAACTTCATGCAGATACCTGCTCAGCTTAGAGAGTTGGTTTCAAAATTTCCTGATACTTCTTCCTTTTTTAGAAGACATGGTCATCTCCTTAACCTGGTCACTTTAAAGCTGGATGAGCAAATGATGAGCGTGTTGTTCCAGTTCTTTGACCCGTTGCATCACTGTTTCACCTTCCCGGACTATCAGTTGGTCCCTACTTTGGAGGAGTTTTCTGATTTACTTGGCATATCTATTCTAAAGCAGACACCCTTTACAGGTTTGGAGATAGCTCCTAGGCCAGAGGATATTGCTTCAGCCCTACATCTAACAATGGATGATGTAGTATCTAATTGGGAGACTTAGAGTGGAATGAAAGGTTTCTTGGCTAAGTTTTTAATTGATCAAGCTCAACAGTTCTGGGATAGTTTGGACTTTCAAGCATTTGAAGACATCCTGGCTCTCCTCATCTATGGCCTGGTTCTGTTCCCAAATTCAGATTCTTTTATCGATGTGAACGCAGTCAAGATCTCCATGTCCCGTAACCCAGTGCATACACTTCTAGGTGATATTCTACATACTCTTTATACCCGTACTGTTCGGAGAAGGGGAACTCTCATATGTTGTGCACTGCTGCTCTCAAGGTGGTTTATTTCTCACCTCCCCAAATCTGTATTAAAGAATGAGGAAGGTATGGGTTGGGCTTACAAAATCATGTCCCTTGCTCATACGGACATCCTTTGGTGTACTAAAGATATGGAAGAGGTAGCTGTCATTGATCAGTGTAGGGAATACCCCAATGTTCCATTGCTTGGAATTAGAGGAGGAATAACCTATAATCCTTGTCTGGCCTTACGATAGTTTGGACGAGCTCGGAGGGACGATCCTCATGAGTTGCTGCTTCCAGACATTGTCTTTGACTTCAAGGGGGATGTTGAGGGACATCGCCACAGATTTATACGAGCCTGGGATAGTTTAACGACACAAAAATTGCGACAGTTATGTGATAACTGTCGTAATTGACATATAGAGACAGTGTTTACGACGGTTGACACCAACCGTCCCTAATATTTATTTTGCGACGGTATATTTAACCATCATAATATTATTATTACGACGGTAAAACAACCGTCGGCCCCCATTTAACACTTTTAACATTGATTTTTCACCAACAACTAGTCACGACGGTAAAATTAACCGTCCTAAAAGGCATATCACGACGGTAAAGCACCCGTCGCACCCTTAAACCTTTCACGACGGTAAAATTATCCGTCCTAAAATTCATTTCACGACGGTAAAACAACCGTCGCACCCAAAACCTTTAAAAATTCTCATGGGCACGACGGTAAAATACCCGTCGCAGTAAAAAAGTTAAAAATACCAAAAAAATACCAAAAAAAGTGAAGGGCCTTAGGAAAAGGTAGAAAATCTCGGTCCACTAGAAGCAAGATCCATCTCCAACCTTTCGATTCCCAATCAACATTATCTCCTCATTTATACTTATGATAAGAGAATAACAGAAAAAATAAATAAAGAAATATGTAAAAATATCAGAACGGTGCTATATTGGGGTGGACATTAGGGTTCAAGTTTGTGTCGAATGAACTTATCAGAGTATTTCTTCCTCTTCTCTCATCAATGGAGGCCGTGCACTATTCTTTCTACTTCTCTCCCAACGTGCTGCCGCTCTTCTTCTCTAAAACCAAATCGGCGGAGAACACAACGACCTTATCTCCTCTATATCAAATTCTCAATATTCGCCTGTCTTCACCTTAAATCGATTCAACCTTCTTCTATTTAGATTCAGTACTGTTTACCTCCGTCTCACTCTTCTTAACTCATCGTGGCTTCGATTCCAATTCAGTTCCATCGTCTCAACCATAGTTTCATCGTTTTTGATTCGAAGCTCTGAAAAATTCCGCTCAATTTCTGTTTCATGCCTCAACTGTGATTCAAAGCAAAACGAAAATGTCACATATGCAAAAAAAATGATGAGAGAAGAAAGAATACTTACACGTCGGAGTCACTCCGCCAACGCTTCAATCGTGATTCAGGTATGCATTCTTAATTCCTCATTCTTCTATTATTTCCGATTCACACGTATTTTCTATTGATTCGGTACAATTCAATTATTGAAGTTTGTTGTTGTGATTGGTGTTGAAAATAGAGGGAATGCTTCAAGCTTGAAGTCGCGATGATGCCATTGATGATGAAGGTTGACGAAGCTGTGTAGAATATTGTAGAGAGGTTGTGTATAGTTGGCTATTAGGATGGGATGGCTTTAGATTTGAATGAAACTGAGAGTTAGTTGCTGATTGTAATTTGAGTTAGCTAATTGTTAGTGTGAAAAAGAGTTAAAATCGTCAATATTATTAGGGCCTGACTGTTAGGAATATCAATTGAAATGGATAACTGTTAGCTTAAAGTTGTTAGAAATTGTTATGTGAGGGATTAGGTTTGTGAAGTGGATATTTAAATTGACTTGAATCTATGTGATTGACTGAATCAGTTTTGCTATGCATTGGCCTTTTTTAATTTTCTGAATGAGTGGACTATTTTTTATGGTATTCCTGAACCGATTTTATGTGTTGTAGGGTTGTTAACTGATATAATGATTGGTATTATGTCTGTTGCATTCACTTATTTTTGGTATTCGAGTTGAAGGAGAGAGTGACGCTGCTATATTGATTTCCGAGGCTACTGCTGCGGCTGGGATGGGGTTGGTTGAGCTTAGGAGGATTGAAGCTTCCAGGGAAGTTGCTGGAACGCTTGCGAAATCGCCTAATGTTACTTATCTTCCTGGTGGAAACAACATGATGATGGCTCTTAATCCTGCTGGTTGATTATCACGGTAATCATCTTTTCCTCACTTTTCAAATTTTTATTTATTTATTTATTGAGTTTGGTTTATTGGCTAAAGTAAGGCTAGAAGATGGTTTATTTCTGTCAAATACTTCAATAGTCAGTTAGTTTTCCTGGATGGAAATTTCTATCTTACCTGCATGGTTAATGTTCCTGGATTATTATCCTCTTCCCCATGGATAAGCAAGATAGGCTTCTTAATTTTATTAGCGGACATGAAGGGACTCATCTCGACATAGGTATTAGTGGCCTCCCAAAGAGTTCTATCTTCATTCTACAGAAGAAAGTATTGTATAAGATGTAAGATATTCATTTCTAAAGACAACTCATGGAAAATACTATGCAATTGGAATAATAAAAATCGAGGCATTATATAGGTAGTACCTGAAAACCAAAAGGTGTAAGCGTTCTATTGTAAGCACCAGAACGAGCAATTCCACAACAAAAGAGATGAGGGGCGTGTGCTAGGAGGTTGGCAGTCATGAATGCACCATAGGAATGTCCACCAACAACTATTTTCTTTGGATGAGCTACCTAGAGGGGATAACCGAAAAATGCTTGATTCAAACGATATTTATATTGGATTGATAACTTAATCTACTACACAAGTAAAAACAAAAGCTTACCCCACGCCGGATAACTTCTTCCACAGCAGCCTCTGCACTTGCAACTAATTGCCCTACATAGCAGTAAGCTGAACCCTATCTTTTCTTTGATACCTGATCATCTCTTTCTGCAATGATGCAAGCTGAGGGAAATTTGTAACCTTAACTCTTTTTGCATTTGGCCAGCTAACAAAGTAATACTGGGTGTTCTCTGTTTTTGACTCTTTTGAAATCAGTATTTTCAGCTTATCTAACTGTAAATCCCCTTCTCCTTGATCCGACATTAGAAAAGTATCTAATTGTGCCCAAATATGTTGTTGGCTAAATGTGAATCAATAATTTGTATTCATACCCATAGCGGAGATCAAGCTTGTGTAATATCGAGATTGAAGGTAAAATTTTCATTCAACCTCTTCTTTTTCTTCCCTTTGCTTATCTACACAATGTCTGCATAAAAACAAACTGATTTCTAGTGAATCAACAACTAATGCTGTTTTAACAACTGAATCCATCAGCACTTATTGGTTTCTTGGTTCTTTAATACTAATCTAGCTCTAATTGCTTCTTCAACATTTAACCACAGGAACAAGTTGCTTATAATCACTACCATAATTCTAGGTAATTATTCATTCTCCTTACTTTTAAAATTTCTATTTCTAGCTTCAAATTATTTATGTTCAAAGATGTACTATATTGAGAGTTGATTGGTTCTTAGATGAAAATTACTTTTTTGTTTTATTTTACTATCTAGAATATTCCAAAATAACCTTGTCTTTCTCTAGTAGACTTTTCTCTTTCATTATACTCAGAGATTCACAAATCTGTTATGTAGTTGTAGGATACTACTCCTTTTAATGAGAACTACTAGTGGTGAAATAGTGGAGACTCTACCAAGATCCTTTCAGGTATATACATATAAATGAATAGCATTTGATTTCACTATTATGTTTATCAAAGGTGTTAGAACTTAGAACTAAGGATTCTATTAACAGGTACATAGTAAAATATGCATGGAATTGATGAGAATATTGGATGATATCATGAGGATATTTCCAGATATAGAGGATGCAAGACCAAAATGTTCATCAGGAATAGAATCTCTGGTTTATCTGAACAACTCAATTCAGAAAGCTAAACTACTTCTACAACATTGCTCTGAATGTAGCAAACTCTACCTGGTGTGTTTTCTTCTTCTCTAAAGCATATCTCAATAATAATTTTGTATAACTTTCTTAACAAGTAAGCTAAATATGACCACTACTTTCAGGCAGTGACAGGAGATACAGTACTTTTAAGATGCCAAAAAGCAAAAAAGTCATTAGAACAAAGCTTAATTCCCATTCAGAGTATGGTTCCAGTTGTGTTGGCTGTTGAGGTTAGTCAATTTTTTCTTCAAACGTTGTCTAATCTGACTTTTTATAAGTCAGTGATTATTCATAAAAACTAATGACTTATTGTAGTGGAAAAAATTCTATAAACAAGTTAATCCAAACTGAGTTTTATCTTTCCTGAAATGTGACTTGCAGGTTTCTAGAATAGTTGATGATCTTGAGCGTGCTACATTTGTTCTGGACTCTGCTGAAGAATAGGCTGGGAAAGTTTTAACAGAATTGCTTCAGCAAGGTACTTCGAACTTGGTTTCAGCGGAAGATTTTGAACTTAAAGCTCTTGAGTTTGCAGCACCAAGGCTGAATATAACATCACAAAAGGCCTTATTAATCGAGGGACGATCTATTAAAAAGTTGCTAGATAAAATTGGACCAAATGACCAGAAAAAGAAATCGGTAGTTAATCGACCTGGTTTTCTTTGTAGACTTATAGTGTAAAGTTATTGATTCTTTCTTGTCACTAATTTATAATTTTATGTTGATGTTTGCAGTTGGTATCTTTGGATCTTTGTGGTCATATTTTTGTTGCTTAATATCCATGGTACGCTACAAGACTTGGCACTTTTGTTCTGTTTCTCAGTAGTTCTGCTGCATGCTAACCATATTTTCTACCTTAAGTATAATGGTTATTATTACCTGTAACAATGCTTTAAAAACTGCATTAAAACCCGTTCAGTTTAACCAGTTGAATCAAGAACTACCAGTTTGATGTGTAGTTTAATCTTGGTTATACCACAGTCTCGTTGAATTAACAATTATGTCATTGTCCAATCGAAACTAAGATTTATTTTTATTGTTTCAGGTTGGCATGCATATTTCTGGATTGCATTCATTCCTATTATTGTAAGTATCTTTATAATTTTTATTTTCTTTTGGCTCTTTTCTCCATTCAAGTAAAGTTGATATATTTATTTTCCAATTTCTGTAGGACCATGATCCTTCCTAGAAGTTAGAAGTTTGTTTAAACTTGCCCTAAGATATTGCTTATGTTTTGTGTGAATCTTGCAGGCTGCTAGGTATGCGTAGCTTGGACCAAATGGTAGTCAAGGAAGGATCATGGTCCTAGCATGGAAGTTTAACACAAAATCACTTAACACTAAGGACTTTCATGAATTTTGTAGAATATTGTAACATTTTTTGTAATTCTCTCAAGTTGTAGCAAACCAATGTAAATATTAAAATGAAATTTGGCCTTTGATGATATTTGAATTTTTCTTGTTTATTGGTAAAATTTGCACTTCTTTTTACCTTTGATCACATTTTTTTTGATATTATTGATGATTATTTGATATTAAATGTTTTTATTGTAATTAACTTTATTATGTTGAAAAGTGATAGAAAATAAAATAAAAATACTATAAATAAAAAAATATTAAAGTAAATAATAATTTAAATATAATAGTAAAATATTATAGTAAAATAATATTATATTTAAAATTATTTTACTAAATAATAATTTAAATAAAAATATTATTTGAAATTTATAAATCAGATTACGACGGTTAAAACCGCCGCAATTTCTAACCTACGGCGGTAGAGTAACTGTCGCAAACAACAACAAAAACAAAAAATAAAGTCAAATTCACGACGGTATATAACCGTCGCTATCTGTTGTGCGTGACAGTTTTGCAACCGTCGCGAAATAGGCTGGGGACGCACGATTCTGCGACGGTACTTCTACCGTCGTAGATTGTAAATTGCGACGGTTTTAACCGTCGTAATCAGCCAAAATAACCGTCCCAATCTATCATTTTTCTTGTAGTGCATCTATGCGCAGAAATACCATTTGGATCAACTTCATGCAGATACCTGCTCAGCTTAGAGAGTTGGTTTCAAAAGTTCCTGATACTTCTTCCTTTTTTAGAAGACATGGTCATCTCCTTAACCTGGTCACTTTAAAGCTGGATGAGCAAATGATGAGCGTGTTGTTCCAGTTCTTTGACCTATTGCATCACTGTTTCACCTTCCCGGACTATCAGTTGGTCCCTACTTTGGAGGAGTTTTCTGATTTACTTGGCATATCTATTCTAAAGCAGACACCCTTTACAGGTTTGGAGATAGCTCCTAGGCCAGAGGATATTGCTTCAGCCCTACATCTAACAATGGATGATGTAGTATCTAATTGGGAGACTTAGAGTGGAATGAAAGGTTTCTTGGCTAAGTTTTTAATTGATCAAGCTCAACAGTTCTGGGATAGTTTGGACTTTCAAGCATTTGAAGACATCCTGGCTCTCCTCATCTATGGCCTGGTTCTGTTCCCAAATTCAGATTCTTTTATCGATGTGAACGCAGTCAAGATCTCCATGTCCCGTAACCCAGTGCCTACACTTCTAGGTGATATTCTACATACTCTTTATACCCGTACTGTTCGGAGAAGGGGAACTCTCATATGTTGTGCACTGCTGCTCTCAAGGTGGTTTATTTCTCACCTCCCCAAATCTGTATTAAAGAATGAGGAAGGTATGGGTTGGGCTTACAAAATCATGTCCCTTGCTCATACGGACATCCTTTGGTGTACTAAAGATATGGAAGAGGTAGCTGTCATTGATCAGTGTAGGGAATACCCCAATGTTCCATTGCTTGGAATTAGAGGAGGAATAACCTATAATCCTTGTCTGGCCTTACGACAGTTTGGACGAGCTCGGAGGGACGATCCTCATGAGTTGCTGCTTCCAGACATTGTCTTTGACTTCAAGGGGGATGTTGAGGGACATCGCCAGAGATTTATACGAGCCTGGGATAGGGTGAACAGGTATGATCCACATGAGCTAGGAATGAAGACTTTTCTCCCAATGCAACTGTATCTCCAGTGGGTTCGAGCCCGTGCTCAAAAGCCGGGGATGCCATACGAAGCTGTCTTGCCGGTGATTGTGGAGCATACTGATGAAGAAGGGGTTCCTTATACAATCCTCCACCCACATATGCCTACTGATCTGGGGGAATTGAAAAGGTCTTGGATCCAGTTAAGGGAAGAAAGGTATACTTACAGAGAGAAGTATCATGAGCAGGAACGGAAGATCCTGAAGCTTACAAGACAGCTAGAGACTGAGAGGACAATCAATGATTATGTCAGCATGAAAGGAAAATGACCATGGGAATTCTGATGTCTTTTATTTTTTCTAGTTTAGATTTGCTTTTCAGTATTTCTTTTGTAACGCCTTAAAGGAATTTGTTAAACATTGCTTCAAGTTTTAATCTATTAAAGTGTGTTTTATTTTGGTTTACAAATTTTAATCTCCCTAAGTCTTTGAAATCATTTCATACGCATTCCATTCCCATGCACCTCATGACAAGTACCCTTACAGGTTTCTTATCTTCTTTGCTGTTTATTTCAGCAATCATGTCTTCTGAAACACCTACTGATCAAGCCATCAAGGCTCTGCAAGCTCAGAATGCTCAGTTCCAGGAGATGTTTTTGAACTTAGCCAAAGGTCAACAAGATTTGAAGACTCTTATCCTGAAGGACAAGAAGAGGAAGAAGAAGAAGGTGGTCCTGCTGAATATGGGTCGCAGATTCGGGAACAATTTGCGACAAGAAACTGATTTATCCCATTCATCTAGAGGGGGAGAGACTCAAGAAGAAGGGAAAGGTCCTAGCCCTATGGTTTCTGACAATGACACTGACTTTTATGAAGACCAGTATCCTCCTGCCGAGGATAGGTATAAGCAACTCGAAGACCGGTTGAGCGCAATGGAGATCCAGAAGATACCTGGGTTGGACTTCGGAGATTTGGGTTTAGCATCTCGGGTGGTGATCCCACACAAGTTTAAAGCTCATGTCTTTGCTAAGTACAATGGGGTATCTTGCCCAAAGCTACACCTTCGCTCGTATGTAAGAAAGATTCAACCATATACTGCCGACAGGAACCTCTGGGTTCATTTCTTTCAAGATAGTCTGTCAGGGACTCAACTTGAATGGTTCTATCAACTAGAAGGAGCTAATATCCGCAACTGGGTGGACCTTGCTGCCGCTTTTTACAAGCAATACCAGTATAATACCGACCTTGCTCCCACATGTACCGAACTTCAGGGTATGTCTATGGGTGCGAGCGAAGGTTTTAAGGACTACGCTCAGAAGTGGAGAGATCTTGCTGGAAGAGTACAACCCCCTCTGGCTGATAGGGAGTTAGTGGATATGTTTCTTGGGACTTTGTCTGGTCCGTATTTCAATCATTTATCGGTAGTTCATCGTCTGGGTTCACTGAATTGATTATGACTGGGGAGAGAGTTGAAGCTGCTATTAAAAGTGGCAAGATACATAAAGGTGTTTCGTCAAGTACAGAGAAGAATCCTTTCAAGAAGGAATCTAGCGCAGTTTACAGCTCGAGGGGCCAAAACCGACCTGAGCGCCGCCAAGCGGTTAATGCGGTAGTAATATCAAGACCAACTGTTGCCCCACAACACAACACCCAACAAAGAGTAGAAAGGCCGCAAATACAGTATACTCGGCTAAGTATGACCCTATCTCAAATTCTGCCGCAACTGTTGAAAACCAACTTGGTGACTCTGAGGGAGGCTCCAAAGAATCCCAGTACTACATCACCGCTGTATAATCCAAACGCCCGTTGTGCTTATCACTCCGATAGCCCGGGGCATGATACGAACAACTGTTGGGCTTTGAAGAATAACGTGCAGGACCTGATTGAAGCTAAGGAGATCGAGTTTGAAGCGCCGGAAAAGCCCAACGTCATCATGACACCTATGCCCAAACATGACGCGGGAGTGAATACTATTAGGGATAATGAAGAAGAGTCAGATTTTGACAGCTGGATTTACCCGACTACCGACGGTGGATTGAGCAATTGGACGGCGAAGGACTTCGTGCCTATTTCTTTTATTACATAGTAATAAGACTTTTGTTTTGAGTTTTGTAATAGACAGTTTAAAACTTTATGGCCCGGTGCCTTTCCCGAGACACCGTGGCGTTGTTTGAGGGCTTATTATGTGTCATTTCCATATATCATCAATAAAAGCATTGGACGTCTTTCTTGCATTACAAATTTTGTGCTCCTTGTTTTTCTTTTCTATCTTGCAAAACAGCTATTTGTCTTACACACACTCACATATAAAGGTCTACATCCACTCTAGATCCCACTAATAACGACTCTGCTACTGCCAGTTATGACTTCGAAAGTCCGGTCAACCAAGCCGAGGACGAAGGTGAGGATGATTGCGAAGTGCCTGGTGAACTTGCTAGATTG